TGAATTAAAGCACTCCGAAGGGGTTTTGATCGATTTCGGGGATACCCCAGTTGGGGTTTTAAACACTGAGCCCATCCCTCCATGAAAAACAGCTGTTTTTTCTTGCTTATAATTTCTTCTGGGGGAATAATTTGTATACCATTTATGAATACTAAGAATGGTTCAATGATTGTGATTCAGCTGCAGAATATTTTAGGAACATCCCAGAAAAAAAACCCTAAAAGCATTCAAAATTACTCAAAAAAAAAATTATCCAAACCCCCTAAGAATCATCTCCATAATTTATGATTAAATGCACACTTCTGGGGCTCGATTTCCGGCTAATTCCAGTGGCTATGGCCATACTCAATCCTGCACTTCGGATCACAAATCAATTTCTCACGTTTTCGATTTCATATCACTCGCCGCCGCAACGCTTCAAATCGATTTCCCTTGCCGCCTAATGACTGCCCCAAATAGGAAATTCCACAAAAAACAAAATATATATATATGTATAAAAAAAGACAGAAAGAAGGGGAAAAAAGAATACAAAGGGCAGGCCGCTGCTTGATACGCCCCCATGGTAGCCGCAGCCGCCGCCGCCGCCGCCGCCACCGCCGCCACAATGGCCGTGACTAATGCAAAATGCTTGGCGATGCTCATAAACACCTCATCAGCGATCATTACGATGCCTTCTACGAACGAAATGACGTTAGAAAATAAGCCAAAAACGAAACAAAAAATATATGTCTCAATAAATCTGGACAACGCCGACGCGGATGCCTGCCCCATCATCATTATCATCATCGTCGCCGTCGCCGTCGCCGTCGCCAGCATAACTATAAATCTCTGTGCCGATCGCAGCTCGTTAAAAAATTAAATTAATAAAACTTAATTTGCACACAAGGCAACAAAGACAAATCCAAAAAAAAAAAGCAGCTTAGCGCTACACCAAAAAAGAAAACGAAAGAAAACACACAAAACAAAAAGGAAAGACAATGGGCTCACCCGAACGAGCAGCAAATGACCAAATCAGAGCATCAAATTAGCAGCCCACCAGTTGGTGGATCATTCCCTGCGCTCTGTGTCGCGTTACCCTCTAGTCTGAGGATAGTATGAGCATAGGCAGAAGGCACGAGGTCTACCTTTTTGCATTAGGAACTCTTCTTTTAAGTAACCCAAGGCGGATTGCCTTACAACTCCTAGAAAAGTGTTCCATCTTACCATAGAGGGTACTGCCAGCCTCGTGGCTAAATGCTGTTTTGGTTTTGGAATTTATTTTGATTTTTGTTTTGAGGGCGTTGCGATGTCGGCTCGCTTGGACCGTTGATAATGATCGATTTGGAACTACGAAAAATGTGTCAAAAACAACGCGAAAGCCCGTCCAATGAGTCGGCGCATTTGATTGTGGCACACACAATGACGGGCTTCAATTGTGGCTGCTTCGACGAATGATTAATGGAGACAGACAGGGAGAAAGGGAGCCAGGGAACAGGCAGCCAAGGAGCAATGGAGCAAAGGGAACAGCCTGTGGTTAGGAGTGCAAACAAGCCGATGAATTCCCAGTAGTCCTAGTCCAGCCAGTAAAACTTATTCTGCCATTGAAAACCCACGACAAAAGCAACCCCATTGCACCCCAGCAGTGCACTTAAGATCGGTGGCCCCTTTAGGATATTTTGTCAGGGGTTAGTACTTTCTGAATAGGATTAGGAGCCACTTGCCTGAGAGGCTCATTTCTTCAACGCTGAGACTTTATATATTTGCTCTGAGGTTGATCTGCTCGTCCCTTACCTCTTCAGGGGTTTGGCTTTGCTGATTTTGCTCTCAACACAATCACATGAAACGAATTTCCGGCACTTTCGCTTGCCACAGTGCCACAGTGCCACTCCCCCGAAGCCCGCAGCTGGCAGGCGATGCAAATTCAATTTGTTTGCCTAGGATGCATGAGCCACAAATCAATTACGCGGCCCCACAACAAAAGGAGCGAGCGAGGAAAAACCTACACCGGCTCTAATTAATGAAAATCCAATGAAAAGCCCCTCCGCGGTGGTTGCTGACGCTGACGCCACATGCAGTGCAGTGTATAAAAATGTACACATATATCAAAAAGGAGAGCCAAGACACGGGAGTTTCATTTCTGTTCATAAATTCATTACGCAACAAAAGCAACCAGAACCAGCGGGTGCCAGGGCTAAGCCAATAAAAGAGAGCGACTCGAGCGACTCGAGCGACCCTCGGACGACCCGTGTTTTAGCGTGAAAAATGTGTGTGAGAAAAGCCACACAAGTCGTGGAACGAGAGAGCTCTTTTTGATTGAGTTGCTGCACTTCCTGAACCCGAAACTTTCAATGGAAAAAAAAACCGAAAAGAAGATGCGTAACCGTAGACAGCTTCAAAAACAAAACAGAAAAGCAAAAATGTTGACAAAACAAATAAACAAATGGGGAACAAAAAAAAAATTCCTACAACTTTGCGGTGAAAATTCAAACGAAAAATAAGTTGCAGCTCAAATTACGAGGGGAAACAAATCGAAACCTGCTCGAAAGAACTCTACAAATGACATGTAACCACCGCCCAGCCCTGTCATTATCCTTCCGAGAGTGTAACCCAACCCCAGAACGGGGTCTGGGGAGGAAACTCTCCAGAGATGAGACACAGAGAGAGAGAGTGAGGGACAGCAGAGTGCACTCTAATCTACGAGTATCTGCAGAGGTCCCTGCGATAAGTGCATTTGCAGTGGACATTGATTTACATTTACATAAAACTCGCATTCGAATGACAAAAAGGGTCCCTGTCCTCCTCCCTTTTTCTTATATATTTCCTGCAGGTTTCTTTTATTTTTTTGTGGGTTTTGGGCGCCGCAGTCAAGTGGATTTCTGAAGTGGTCAAATAACTATTCACCAAAAATGCATTCCACTTGACCAAGGAAATTTGATTTTCATGTTTTGGCAGTTACCGAGACCCCCAGAACCCAAATCCCAAATCCCAAATCCCAAGCCACAATTTTTGCCTAATTTATGATGGTCCTCAGGAGAATACTTTTGTGCCAGCCTAATTGCACTTGGGTCCGCCTGCAGCTGTCAACGCAGGTCTGGGGCCTAATCACACTCGGACACACCCCAGAGCTAAGATTTAGCATCCACTTGGGCGACAAAAAGGTTCATTTGGGAGTGGAAAAAGTCGAAACTTTTCGGGGGTATTACGTTTCGAATCCTTGCTGTAGCCAGATATTTTGATCAGATATGGGTGATTCTGTCTTTCTTTTTGCATTCCTTCAAAGACACAAAGAGATCGCTCCGAGTCATCGGGGTATGTCTGCGTTTCTCTGTCGATCCCCGAGTTCCGTTCCATGTTCGACTTTGGCCTTTTGCTGCCGTCTGGCGTCAGTTGTCTTCAGTGTTCAGTCTGCGCAGCTCTGTTGCTGGGGCCTGTCTGGGGGACTATGCCCCACTAGTCTGGCGGAAAATAGATGATGTTTGGGGAATGCATTTCCACAAGGGGAGACAGAGACAGAGACTGACTCAGCGAGAGAATTTCTGCAGATGGCACAGAAATAGAACCGCTAGTCCCCTCGTAATACCGAACAACTGAGACTAACTCTAGATATTTTTCGCATTAAACATGTCAAACGCTCGTCTCGTCGTCGGCTGCAATTAATAAAGGTGCTACATGGGGCACTCGAGGGGAGGGATGCTGGGGAACAACTGCCTACTGACTGCGGGAATGACTGGATCAAGCGACCAAATTGTCTGCGCGCCCAAGAATAGATTCCTCCTCAGGCAGGCAGACTGCAGTCTCTGTCGCTCTTCCTGTTGTGTGTTAATTTGTGTGTCGCCCCTCGAGGAGTCTTCGGTGAGTTTCGGTTCAGTTTAAGTGGGTAAGCCCGGAGATCGGTGCGCCCTCTAGTATTTCCCTCTCTGGTTATTTATTTGTCGCGTCTGTTGGGGCCCAAGAACAAAGCGTTTTCCGGGCGGCGGGGTGTGTCTTCCCTCACTTTTTTTTATGACTCTACAGCCTCGGGGGCGACATTTTTCAATGTTCCCCCACAACACAATTCGGGGGCGGCTTACCTGACGGCACAGCACAGCCCTGCGACGATTATTGATCTTTAGCCAGAAGTTTGTTGGATTTCCGCATCTATTTTTGGGGCCAGCACCCATCCATCCCCCAGACACGGACTGGAACACGGACAGGGTGCCCACAATTGAAACACTTCCGTTAATGCATTGCTATCACGTGCTACACAATGTTGACAATATTCTGATTTGGTTTTGGGAGCAGGGCATTGAGTTCCTCACAGATCTCCAGAGTTTTTTGTATTTTTTTTTTTAAGAATTCTGTGAAGGGAAGATAGTTTTAGATCTTTCTGATAGATTTGTGTCTTTGAAATAGTTTAAAGAACTCTGATTATTTTTTCTGTGGCAGAACTTTCTATTCACTGAAGCAACAAAAATGTGTACTCTTTGTGAAGGTATTTTCAGAGGTGTTTTCTTTCTGAGCGTAGCCTTAGTAACTTTCATCCGTTTACAAAGTACTTTACTCTGCCGAAAAGCTGATAAATTGGTTGACCAACCCAGTTCTGCCATGGAAATAAATTGCATTAACCATTTTTGGTTAAACAAACATAATATAAATATTTGCCTTCAAATTGTTAGATAACTTTTAACTTTGAATTTGTTTAATTCTTTTTGTATTGTTACTGCTTAAAGATTAAACATTAAGTTTGCTCAACCAATATTTGTTTGCCCGCTCTGTAAGTTTAAGAAATTTGTAATACACAAATAAATAAATTTGTCCCCGTTTTTGTTGTTTAATTAATTAAGTTTCTCGCTAAAATATGTGATTAACATGATTTATGTTTCAATGCCGCGATCCTAGCACGAGAAAAGACTACCTGCTGAAATAATTGTATCGATATTTTGGGCGTGTCATCACTATGCAGAGTGTCATCTCTTTAAGCCCGTAACTAGAAGTGTCACATTTACATGTGTGGTGTTAATTGTGTTTGTTTTATTTTATTTTTTTGCTTGTGTTTTGTTTGTTTCGTGAAGTCAGCAGCAACTACCAATGCTGTGAGTGTGAGCACACCAAGGAGCACACTGGGATCAACAAACAGCACTAAGTGGTGTTATTAAAAATTCTTTCAATGTCTTGGCCGTCTCTGGAAACACACAATAAACTTTGTGTAGCACCAAAAGCAGCGTCGCGGAATATTTGCTGAACATTAAACCACAGCTCAGATAAACCAAAACAATTCTTGGAATTTGCAGAGCAACAATTACAGAGTCAAAGGACAGCGTTTTGGTTTCGCTACTTCAATTTTAGGTAAATATGCGTTGAGGCGCAATGTCCACTGCTACTTGAGGCTACCTGAGTTGCATTCTTTTACTTAATTTTATTGACCCTTGACACCACGTGTACACAAATAATTAGTACTAATCCACCGCAGATAGCAAAGTATTCGCCTCTGTGTTTGCCCAAGTGAATCCATACATAAATAAATATGTGAAATGGCAATTGTTCTTTTACAACCTCTTTGACCCATCCTAACACTTGCCATCTTAGGCACTTACTTGTGCTAATCCACCGCAGTTGAGGTTTAACGCTGCTAAATTATTTTACGACGGCACAGGAGCGACCGTGCGATCATTGAGCGTTGTGTGAGTTTAATTTGTGTTTTTGTATCTGTACTGTACATCTGTATTCCACACATATTCTTCCTTTACTGGGCCACTGTGTGCTCAACGCTCACCAGATCCTTGTGCTGATTGTGGATCAGGGCGTATTGTTTTAGCAACAACTTGTCCGCCTCCTGGATGGTCATGGCAGACACGTAGACACGCCCATGGTCATGCAGCTGGGCCACCACGCCTGGCATTTCACTGGTCAGATAATAGACACACTCCGAATGGAGTTCATCGCGCAGCGTCTGGGTGGACAGCACAAACCATACGGCGAACGTCTTTATGTTGATTCTGGAGCCAGAATGTGCAGTGGACCGCAAGTGCTGGTGATGTAAATTGTGCCCTGGATTTACTGGATGCGGCAGATGTACTGCCTGGAGATAAAAGTTGTGACGCGTACGAAGCGTCTCACACGTTCAATCTCGTTCTCATTAAGTATGCTGTCGGATGCTTAATTAGGGTGATCATTTACAATTTTCGATGCACTCTTATAACCATTTAATGATGATGTAGATGGCAGATGTAGAAATAATGTAAAATGTAAAATACGAAACAAAAAATGTAATGACTCAGTACCGGGGACACAAGTAGTGACACGTACGAAGCGTCTCACAAGCGTCTCTTCTCGTTGAGTATGTGTATGTGTTTTTTAGCGACAGAAGCTTGATTTAATCTTAGTATTTTCCGTTCGACATGGGAGTATAAAATCGGAGCGTTTTTTAGTATTTTTGTTTGAGCTGCGAAAATCTGGCTGCTAAGTTTTTAAACAGAGACCGAACATTTGGTTTGCTTCTGCCTTCTTCTAAAGTTCTCCTAGTGGCTGATCATGGAAAAGAACATGGTCCACCGCCTAGCCCCTCAAGTTCCCTCCGCCTAAAGTTCTGAGACTTCCCTTCATGGTTCAAATGCCTCTCATATTCTCTGCGCCTAAGAGTCTGAGAGAGTCTGAGAGTAACTTCTGTCCGAGTATACTTTAATAATATTTAAATTATAATTTATATTACATGATATTTGTATTATTTTCAGTATTATTTATCTAATCGAATACTATTTAATATTAATATTTGGCTGGGTGTTGCCCCTGAAAATGTATTTCTTCATTCTGGCTATAATAATGATTCAATCTAATCTTCATTTTGTGATCTGTTAGAAATGGCCATTCGCTATTGTGGATACAGCAGACTTTCGTCTGTGACTCTTTGTGACGGAAACGTTTCCCTCTGTGCGCTAAGGAAACAAATACAATATAACCTTTGTATTCACTCTTCGAGCACCGTGTATAAAAAGCAAAAGTCAGTGGTAGATGTGGCTTAAGGAGCAACTTCAGTTTCAGAACTACGTTTTTTTCTAAATATTTGATGAGGTTGCAGCTGTATAGATATGTACAACAAGAGTAGTTTTTTTTTTTTGGCAGAAACGATATTGTTTAGATTAGTTTTTTCCACTTACTGTTACATAAAAACAACTTAGTAATTGTTTGGTTGTCTTATTTATTTATACCTGCCACAGATGATGTGCTTCTAGCTCAGGGTAGTCAGACTTTTTTGAAGGTGGTTAAATATTTGTATATTTCTATTTAAAACTGCATCAACATAATCTAATTTTAGTTTGCTTTTTAACTCCATTAATTATTTATTTTTTGGACTAATTTTAGATTTTTGTAAGTGCCTTTATTTGTTGACATTTCCATTCCCATTTCCAATTCCAATTCAATTATTTGGCACCCGCTGTTACCCTGCCGGTTAAGCAGTAGAATCCAAAAATATTCTCATCAATTATGCAACTTTGTGCGAGTGTTTCCCCCACATTTTTAAGCAGGAGTGCCAGGAGTTTTCTTCGTGCTTTCTTGGGCCTCTTCATTCATTTGCAATTTCCATTAAAATGTCATTGAAATTTCACTTATAAAAATTGTTTTCAAAACCCAACCCGAACGCAAAATCTAGGGAAAAAATTCAGTGATAAAAGGGAGGGAGGGGCGAGAGAAAAGGAGTGAAGCAGAACTGAAGTGAATTTTGTATTGTGGTTGGTTTGGGCAGGAGTACTTTTTGGGGAAGGAAAGGGTAAGGAAAAACTAGGGCAAGAGGAAAAACTTTGGCTGGCAATTCTATTGCCAAACGCATTTTGCACTTCAATTGCACGTGAAAATGAAAATAAAGTGAAGTGTGCTTGGGGTTGGGGTTCGGGCCAAAGCTGAGGAAAAGCTGCAAAATTCAAGCCTGATGCGTGGGTGTGTTTGAGTGTGTGTGTGTGTGTGTGTGTGTGTGTGTGTGTGTGAAAAACAGGGAATGAGCAGAGCATTTTCTGAATGCCTCTTGCGGTTTCAGGTTCGAGGAGAATCCAGAGTTGAAGTTTTACACCCGCCCCCTCCCACATTCCATCACCATTCCCCACTCATCTACTGCTCTGCATTTTCACGTCTGTCTGTCGCTGTCATTGATATGGCATCTTCTCCCACCTCAGCCAGCCCACCACACACCACCCACCACCCACCACTCGCTCACTCTGACTCTCCCTTTGCCTGGGCCACGCTCTCGCACCTTCATTTCGTTGTCGTTTTGTCGCCTGTTGTTAATTGTCATTGCCTCGCTTTAAGCCGCTCACTGGCAGCAGCAAAAGCAACGTGCGTGGAGAGCAGCAAAGGCAGCGTGCAAGGAGCAGTGAGCAGAGAGAGAGAGGGAAAAGGTAGCCTGAAGCGCAGGTTGAGACACCCAGAGTACCCTTGAAGACGCTGCTGGGAAAACTATTAAGAGACGCCAATATAAAAATGAAAACTGTGCCCAGTTAATGAACTCATTTTAAATTAAATGAAATTCAAATGGCACATGTGTAAACACCACAACTGGCAAAACCACAGCTGCATATGCTGAAACAGCAAAAAATCGACCTTCATCCCCTTCAAAGTGGACGCTAAACTATTTGTATGGCCTCTATAATTTACAATTACCTGGAACAATTTCAGAGGCAATTAAAAAAACATAATTAAAATGTATTTGAAACAACAAAATTGATCAGTTCTTTATTCCCTAGCTGTTAGCTCAACAAATTGCTGCCTTGCTTGAGATGCACTTAATTGGGCATTCTTCTTGTGTTCAAGAAACGATACGATACATACGAGTATATCAGCCATAAAAAGACCAATTCATGGACTTTGGTTTTTGCTAATATTCCTGAAATAAAAGTGAATATATTGCGGGTCTTCATTTACATTTGCTTCGAAACACATCGAGAAATCAATAAAAAATCAAAAGTTGAATTCTTCTGTCAAATGAATATATATTAAAAATATAAATATTTATTTACAGAATTAAACAGCCATTTTGTGCAGCTATAAAGACAAAGATCCATCAATAATTTCAAGCAAATATCTGCGTAACTGAGCGACCGACGATCCCCAGTGCAGACAATTCCCTTACCACGGTACGTCCTATACGGAGTAGTGGCTGCTAGGTAATGTTTAATGTCTAGTGTAAATGATGAGCTTGTTTAATAATCAACAATTTTCTCCTTGAAGCCTGCTCTGTGGCCACATGTCCGCTTCCTTTTGGTTTCTTCTTTAGCTGCTCTGACTTCTCGCGGAAATAACGATTTGGCGCCGGCGAGTTGGGTTCCTTGCGGAAATACTTTTGCTTGGGCGTGCATAATGCCGGATCGTGTCTTAATCAGCTCTATGCACGGCTCTGGAGCATCGTCCATGGTAACAGTGACGTAGCCAGCCCTGGTCTTGATGCGTTTGACAACGGACGACTTGTGATGATTCTCCTCATCGGAACTCTTAACTGGCGACACCAGCTGCGACTTCTGCTTGTGCTGGGTGCCATCCAGGGTGCTGGGTAAGAAATTGGTTGGCTGCCTCTGGGCGGTGGGGTGGGTAAAACTGTATCAGAGGCGAGGCGATTGTTGCTGCTGCTGCTCCTGCTGCTGTTTTCACGCGCGGTTAGCGCCTGTACTTGCATTGCCAAGTAAACGAAGAACCGCGAACCGCGACAGACACTTGGAGATAGCTGCCATTCCGGGCACACGGGGTTCGTTCCTCCGTCATGTGGGTGTGCGTGTGTCTGCCTTGGCTTTGGCGTAAGTGAAATTTACTGCAACAGCCCCATTCCCCCCCCCCGCCCTACAGGTCATTCGGCTCCAAAAACGGTCGATGAGTTGGCCAACTTAGGCGAAAAATTGAGAAGCGCACACACACACCCCGCCATCACCATCTGTGTGTGGCACACTGGCCCCAGACCCAGACCCAGACCCAGACCCAAGAGAAATTGCCGCAAATATTATTCTGAAATGCATTTTCCATGCACATCGAGCTAAGGAACTGCCATTATGTTTTATGCCAGACCTGAAACGTTTTCCACAAAGTTGTGGATTTTTTGTTGTACATTTTATTGATTTATATTTATTCCTCCCAGTGCACTGAAAACTGTTGGAATGGAAAACTTGAATGAAGACAACGACGACTAGAAAGCAGAAGCAGAAGTCGCAGCTGGTGTCGCCAGTTAAGAGTTCCGCTGAGGAGAATCATCGCAAGTCGCCCGTTGTCAAACGCATCAATACCAGCGCTGGCTCCGTTACCTTGGACGATGCTCCAGAGCCGTGCATAGAGCTGATTAGGACACGCTCAGGCATTATGCACACCCAAGCAAAAGTATTTCCGCGAGGAGTCCAACTCGCCGGCGCCCAATCGTTATTTCGCAACGCGTCCCAGCCACCGGCGCTCCCAAGAAGTCAAAGCAGCGAAAGCAGATGATAAAAGGAAGCGAACATGTGGCCACAGAGAAGGCTTCAGGAGAAAATTGTTGGTCAGCTGAGATTCCTGGCTTCAGGGCTGACCAGCAGCAGCGGCAGCTCCTCGACCAATACTGCCGTCAGAGGCACGGGCACATCCCTCGTGACGGGCACCACCACACACGGGCACTGGTCACCACCACCACTGGTCAATCAGGTCATCAATGGCGCCTCACACATTGCGGATATTTTGCCCCAGATCGTGGCACAGGGCGCCTCATACTCATCATTTACACTGGACATTAAGCATTAGACTACATTTTTTCGTTCCACTGCAGTGGAACCCAGAAGGATTGTTAGGATTGTTTTGAATTGTAACAAATGAGAAATACAATATGCTGCATCTTCTGTGTATGGTAGACATTTCTCCTGTTTATGATTTTAAATTGTAATCAAAGTGCGGCTCTGGCCATGGTCTCTGTGGCCTCTTGAGCTTCACGATCTTGGGCAAACAATGGGATAAAAGTACTTCTTGACACGCTTAGCCGAAACGCTCAGGCAAATCCCCGGGGGCTATGGGTACGCGCGGGGCTTTCTAAAATTGCCCAAAAAAATATGAAAATCATAGTCGTATGGTGGCAGAATTCTATCACACATGACCACCAGAAATAAGAAAGCGCGAATCCAAAAGAAATATTGAATTTCCGTCAACTCATGCGTTGGTATATAAGCAGCCAGGGACTGGTCATCGATACGCAGTCGACGCAGAGCATTACACCCAAAATGATGTACAAAATTTACATTTTGTGTTTGTTGGCAACGGCCATGGCGGCACCATCGCCCTCGCCCTCGCCCGTGGCCTCATCCAAAATCCCCGCCGAAGTGGTCGAGCTGGCGGTTGTGGCAGAGTCGGACCCAGACCCAGAGCAAGAGCTGGACCTCGACGAGTCGCGGCTGGCGGGCATCTTTGTGAAGGACGGCAACGAGAACGGACAGCTGAGATTCCTGGCTTCAGGGCTGACCAGCAGCAGCGGCAGCTCCTCGACCAATACTGGCTTCAACTCTGCCCTGAATCAGTACATTACGAACAAGCAGGACATGCTGGAGCAGCTGCGTCCGAGCAGCACGGGCACCGGCATCACCACTGGCACGGGGACATCCCTCGTGACGGGCACCACCACGAGTGGCACAGGCACGGGCAGCGGACTGGTCACCACCACCACGAATGGCGCCATTTATGTGAACCTCGGTGGCACCTCCTCGTCGTCCACATCGTCGGGCTCGACGGCCACCAGTTCGGCCATCAATCAGGTCATCAATGGCGCCTCACCCATTGCGGATCTTTTGCCCCAGATCGTGGCACAGGGCGCCCTCTCGTCGCGTCGTCGTCCTGGCAACAACAACAACATCCGTCGTCGTGTGCCCAATCGCCGTCGCGTCAACAAGCGACGTGGCAGCGTCAACAGCAACAACCTGCAGCGCCGCCGGCGTCGTGGCAACAAGCGGGGCAAGAACAAGGCCCAGGTGATGGTCGTGCGTCCCAATCGCGGTTGATTCTGCCACACACCCAACCCTACTCCTCCCTCACTCTACTTAAGCCGTCGTCTAGGTCTGTCTGTTTTTTTTTTTGAGTACTTCCATCCCTTTTTTTTTGTCTTATTATTATTTGCCTGCAAGAGGCAAGATTAATTTATTTATTTAAACTATTAAAAAGCAGCAAATTACACTGTGCAACACATTACACTCTTTGAAAGTCTCAGTCGGGGTTGAATAATTAGTCACAAATGGCGAATAGTTTGGTGGAACGATGGGAACTGGCTGACAAAGCTCTTAGGATGAGCCAAGTTTGATCTCCAATATGATTTTCCACCTTTCAATATTTTATTTGATTTATTAAGCTTCGATTTCCAACATGGGAACCCTCTGGAACATTTACTTTTCGATATCAGAGTATTTTCCAACATCTTAGGATCTTAGGAACGTTGTGAGACGCGTCGCTACATTTTTACACGACTCATCTACATCTACATCTGACTGAATGGAAATTCTGGGTTGCTCTTGCTCTTATGGTCTCTGAGAACAACCCGAAAATAACTAATTTTATTCGATCAGCTTACACATGAAAATGTGTGCCATTTTCGCTTGCCAAAACTTGACAAAAAGTCGTTCAATTGTAATGGTTTTAAATACTCATTCGATAGCTTTAATTGGGAAGGGTTCTCTGATATTTAAATTCCATTTACAATTGCCACCACACAGCACCTGCTCCAGCAGCCTCAAAATTGGTGTAGTGTAGTGCCTGGGTTCCCGGGGCCCTTTAATTTATGGGCCAACTGGTGTTCATGTTCAGGGCCTCAGCAACAGCAGCAACAGCAGCAGCAGCAGCAGTCGGCGGAGGCCGGGGTTACGGGTCCATGTCCGTGTCCGTGTCCGTGTCCGTGTTTAGGTGCCCCCTACCCGGGGGAGCGCGCTGCGCCTGGGGCCGGGGGCCTGGTCAAGTGCAAGACAAACGGTCGTCGGCACTGCATGCGGCGGTCAATGTCTTGATAAATGTCCGCCAACCGTAGGAGCAAACGCAGTACCCTCGCGGGTACCCCATCGCTTGGACTTGTACTCGTACTGGGACTGGGTCCTGGGTCCTGGGTCTTCCTCCTAAATCACCGTCACGTGTCCCGGGCTGTGCATTATGTGCTCATGACTGTAATGAGCCTGTAAGTGGACCTAATCAGTGTCATAATAATAGAAATTAATCACTGCAAGGCCAAGTTGGAGGGAGAAATTGGGTTGGGCTTCTGCCTTGTACCTTTGGCCCACCTGCAGCTGCTGGCGGCCGGGCTGGCGGCCGGGCTGGTGGGTCACGAAAAAAAAGTCAAAGTTCAAGTGTTCCTCCTGCCACTTTTTCATGGCATTTCCTTTTCCCTGTGGTGCGGTTTTGTGCAGCGCTTTGGCGCATACTTTGTAAATGTTTTGTAATGATTTGATTTGAAATTCATTTGAATTATTGCTTGCTTCCGGTTTCCGGTGCCTTCGAAATACTTTCCTGTTTCCCCCAAACTAAAAAGAGCCCAAGACCGACCCCAAGAACACAGAGCCACAGCCACAGCAGGCGGCCCCTTGGCAAGGATATGAACGGACTGGACTCTATGATGTACGAGCAACTCGCTTGGCCTTCTCCTCTCTCTTCACTTTACTCTTTCTCGTTCTCGTTCTCGTTCTCTCTCTCTGTCTGTGTGTCTGTCCAATTCCCGGGAGTTTATTAAGTACTGCCCAAGTATATGCATAGGTCAAGGGGCGGTCTGTGTGTGTGCGGAACTTTGTTAATATGCAAGTGAATGGACATTTCCGGTACGTACAAAACGTGCCATGTGCCAGTCCAGACCCACAGTCCAGCCAAGCCCCGCGAAACCTTTAGAGGCGGAAACCGGGTGGCCAGAGCCAAGGACATGTGTTGCTCCACACACACATCATCATCATCATCATCATCATCAAGGGTACCGTGGTGCTTCGAGGGGGTACTCTGCTCGGATACATTTCGCTGCTCTACCCGCTGCAAGTTTCACACGGGTTTTGTTGCTTTTGTCGTGAATTTTGGCCACCAGAAAAGTCGGAGATGTGTTCAAATATTTCTAATGAATAAAACAAATATGAGAAATGATCAAAATGTGCGAGAAATAATGACGTTGCAGCGCGACTTGTAAAGAACTTACTTGAAAAATGAGCAGAGCAATCGAACTTCGTTCTGCTCACAACATTTTGCACTGTGGGTTTCATTTTTATTTCATTTTTTGTTTTTCTTTTCTTTGGCAGTTCTTCGGCTTCGCTCATGTGTAATTTTCAATTAAAATGATTTGA